AAAAAAAAAATCACGATTGACGATCGAACAATTTATATTTTAAATCAAAACAAAAATGCCGAAACAACAGATAGAACAAAAAATCGAAAAATTGAAACATATGGCATAAAATTGAAGGCGGTGATGTCAGGCCTCTCCGTTGTCGTTATCGGCGTGCGCTACCATGCCGCCGACTGCGTCACCGCCTCCACACGTCGACAAAGCCGTTTGATCCACCTGCGTCGCCTCTGCTCCTTTCGTCTCGAGAGCTCGAATGAACGGAGCAAAGTTCTGTAGAATTTCGATCGGGTTGAACGATATGAGAGAGGTGCAAAGTAGATCTGATTTTTTGGTCAAAGATTTGGAGAGATTTTGGGGCAGATAACGTACACGCATTATCAAGAAAATCAGGAAAAATGTCTTTCATTCTCCACAAAGGATGTAAAAGAGAGATGTAGTGGGCGAGTTGTAAAAAATGGCCAACAAAGGGGCATTTTCATGTGAAAAAAAAGCCACGTGTCGAGCATATAATCCCTCAAACTTTTTCTTATATGTATAAGGGAGATATAGGGTCGCACTCCCATGAGAATGGTGTTTAGTGAAAGAAATAAGAACAAACCATAGCTATTAGATTGAATAATCTAATGGTTAAAAAAAATCAAAATTATACCTTCATTAAGGATATTTTAGACATTACTGTTACATATTACCATCCACATCTACATGCTATGTCATTACCCATACACCTCCAACACACAAAACACACGCGCATGCACACCACACAATTGACAAACATTTACACACACAGTTACATGTATTTACACACACAGGTAAATACACAGATACACATAAACCAAATTCTCTCTCATCAATAAATATTTTTCTCTCTCTCTCTCTCTCACTCCAGCACACACCCCAACACACACATCTCACCGGCGGCAGCTCGCTACATCGCCGGCGTGAGCCCGCCAACGGCATCGGCCGCCACAACAACGGCGCCAGCAACGGTGACATGCTCCGAGGTTCAGCCCGCTGTCGACCACCCGGGAACTCAACTCTGCCGGCAAGAAAGAAACGACGTCGGGATCAACTGGACGGCGAAGGTCTCTGACTTAGCACAGTCGGAGTCGGTCCACACCCTGGCGGATAGCGTTCGCAGCGAGCCGGTCGGCAACTCTGCGTGTGGTTTGGAGAGCGGATGTCGGCGAATTTCTGTCGCCGGAGATAGAGACGTTGAAGAGAGTTGTCTGGGATGGCAGAAGTCGACGAACATCCGCCAGCGACAGTGACGGAGATGCCAGACGGCGGCGGCGGCGAGGGGAAGCTCAAAGAGTGAACAGTGATTTATGTGTGATTTTTGAAAATTCATGGGTCTCATTTTGAGAATTAGATAAATCTCTAGGACTTGTATGTAATTTTGAAAATTTTAGACATTTTATTATTATTCAATTTAGTCCATGGGTTAAATATATAATTTATATAAAAATGTATATAAATAAGTCAAATATACAATTTATAAAAAAGATATTAAATTTATTATTTATATATATATATATTTTTAATAAATGTATATTATGTATTTAAAAAAATAAAAATAAATAAATATATATATATTCAAAAATTAAATAAAATATTAAAAAACTAAATATAATTTAGTGAGTAGCAGAATGCACAACAAAGTCGTACCAGATGCACATTAATGCATTTAATATTGCACATTAACATAATAGAGTGCAATGTTTCACATATATAAATTTTTTGTTCATTTCGGTCTTGTTTCGGCGTTATTTATTAGAAAAAAAAAACACACATAACAAAACTGATTGATTATATAAACAACTATTATTCTTATATTTTATATGTGTAAATCTATCTTGAATATATATATCTATATATATATTTAAAAATAAAAATGAAAATATTAAAAACTAAATATAATTTAGTGAGTAGCATAATGCACAACCAAGTTATGCAAGATGCACATTAATGCACTTAATAATGCACATTAACAAAATAAAGTGTAATTTTTGACATATATAAAAATTTTGTTTATTTCGGTCTTGTTTCGACTTTATTTATCATAAAAAAAACACACATAACAAAACTGAATATATTTTTTATTACAATAAAAATCTATTATTCTAATATTTTATATGTATAAAATCTATCTTGACTATATAAATATAAAATAATAAATACTAAATATATTTTTTATTATATAAATAATTTAATGATTGCACAAACAATGTTAATTAAAATATAAAATTTAACATTTTCTGAACTTAAAATGCACATAAACATATCCGTACAGTAGTAGAATGCACAATAACGATATATTAAACGCACATTTTTGCTTGTGTGTATGCACTTTATCGATTTTGGTATTACATATAATATTTTTTTCAACTAAAAATAATAAAAAATAATAAAATGCTAAATACATAGTAATTTTAACTTAAAGTCCGAGAAAAACAAACTAATATAAGACGAAAATTCGTTTTGTTGATTACAACATAGCGACGCCCTAGTGCACAATAATATTTCGCCAATTTGTACGTAAATGTAATAATTTTAAAACCCAAACACTAAGCCCCTAAATCATAACATTGTGCATGTTAACACATTCTAATGTGCATTTTATGCCATGTTAATGTGCATTTATTGAACTTTTTTATAAATTACATAGCTACCTCACCTATTAAAGCGCAATATATTAAAAAGGTTAAAAATACAACAAGGTCCTAAAGAATGTCTAATTTTCAACCATAAGTCCCTGCACAAGAAAAAAAAAAAAAAAAAAACTTCCCTGCTATCACCTTCACTGCACACACACACAAACATAAAATATACACATGCCCTCCACCCACCGCCCTCCGGCAGCCGCCCTCCACCAATCGACCCACCGCCGGAAAATAGAAACTCATATAATACACTGGCCTGGCCCTGTCTTTCCGTCACCTGTCCGATGCTTCATGGGCGCCGAAGACCACCGCGACCTGTGGTCCGGCTTCAGGAGCTCCACTGCCCTCGCCTCAACGTCCCCTCGTACGTTCTCTCCAGTTGCCGCCATCGCCGGAGTCGAGTTCAGTGAAATCTCCTCATCTGGCGACAATTTCCTCATTCTACAGAATCTCCACAGTTCATCTTCCTCCTCCGCTGCCGCCGGAAAATAAATACACAGTGACTCAGTACCGGGCCGTATATTTAATGTGGCAGCGGGAGGACTGGCCGGCGGCGGGAGGCGGGAGGCGGGAGGCGGGGACGGCGACAGACGACGGGGCTGTTGGTTGAAGCGGCGGGGTCTGAGTGGTGCAACCGTGTGTTGCGTCCTGAGGTGTTGTAAAATTGGATGAGGTGTTGATGAGGTGTGTGTATTGTGTGAAAGAGAGAGAATGAAGGTGATGGGTTGGTTGTGTGAGAGAGAAAAGGCAGGTGAAGGGTTGGGTTATGATGGTGACGTGATGTATTGGAAAGTACACATGTGCCCTTAGGCTAATAGTAATTGTCCATCCAGTTCGCCAATATTACCAAAATGCCAACGCGAATATTTAATTAGATGGAAAGATCCTGATCGTTGGAACACCATATCCAACGGTTTACATTATTTCTCATTTCTTTCACTGAGATCCTTTCTCATTTGAGCGCACTTCTATATATATATATATATACTTGTTATAGTGTTTTAATATTTACCGGTCCGGTCTGATTAAACCGGCGGTTTACTGCAAGTAATGGTTTTTTTAAAAAAATTAACCACCGAATTTTTTAAGCCTTTTTTAACTGACCATTTAACCTATCTGCGGTCTGGATTGACGGTTATTTTTGGTTAAAACCGAACACTGAACACCCCTAATGGCTGTCCAATCATGCACAATTACTAATTCGTATATTACCTTAATTAAACCGTACAAACTACTGCCGGAACGACGCCGTGTCTGGCTGCACCCCAACCTAAAAAATTCGTGTCAATTGGCCTCTCGGAGAAAACAGCAGAATCGACTTATCTTGGATTCTTGGTCGAAAGCTCAGGTGCGTATGCTTATTTCTGTTTTTCATGGGAACTTATCTATAACTGGAATTGATATGGAAGAACATGCTTGTTATAGATAATTATGTGGGCTTCTGTGCGCTTTGATAAGCCTATCCATGGAGAAATCTAAGTCAGTCTCAAATTCGTGGAATGTGGTGTAATGTATATGCAGTTTTAGCCCATTTTTTTCTTGATTTTAATACTGTAAGAATTCGTCAAGCTGGTTTCTTTTTTAGGGGGGTTATTGCCATTTGGGTGTATTAATT